TTTGCCATCTTGAGACAGAGTTTCCCTGTAGCCACAGCTGGCCTGAATTCACTACGGAGACCAGGCTGACTTCAAACTCAAAGAGATCTGCCTATCTATGTCTCCCAAGTGCTGGGACCAAAGGTGTGTGCCACCACACCTGGTGAACCATACTTTCTTTAACCTATTCTTTGTTGGTAGACACCTGGCTTTTTCCAGATCCCTGCCTAGGTAATGAAGACAGGTTCTTTTAAAGAAATTAATTATTTATTTATGTGTATGTGTATACTGTTTATCATGTTTATGTGTGTATACAATACATGTGTGCAAATGCATGTATGTCAGGTGTCTACCTCAATCGCTCTCCACTGTACTTTTTTTTCTAATTTTTATTTATTATTTTTATTTTATGTGTATTCGTGTATTGCCTGCATGTAGGTAAGTGCACCGGGTCATGCAATGCCCACGGAGGTCAGAAGAGGCTGTTGGATCCCCTGGGACTGGAGTTACGGACAGTTGTTAGCTGTCATGTGGGTGCTGGGATTCAAACCTGGGTCTTCTGCAAGAACAACCAGTGTTCTTAACCTCTGAGCCATCTCTCCAGCCCTCCACTGTACTTTTTGAGACAAGGACCTGGAGCTCACTGATTGGCTAGACTGCCTGGCCAGGAGGCCCTAGGGATCCTTCTGCCTCTGCCTTTATGGAACTGGGATTGCAAGTATTGTGCTAGTACACCTGGCTTTTACTTGGGTTCTGGGGATCTGAACTCAGGTTCTCATGCTTTTGTGGCAAGGCTTTTACTCAGTGAGCCATCTCCTCAACCCATGAGTCTTTGTCTTCTTCCCCATGTGTTGGTGTGGGCTGCCTTGGTATCCATAGACTTGAAGGTGATGCTGTCGTGGAGCCCCTGGCTTGGAGCACTCTCCTTTCCTGCTTGGTTTCCCCACTGTGACAAGCCAAATCCTTTAGACAGCACTAGTCTGAGGCAGGCTGTGGTTTGTAGGGTTTCATTTTTTGTTTGTTTTTGCTGGACTGGGATTTGAACCTATGGTCTTGTGCATGGTAGGTGAGCACTATATCACTGAGCTACCTTCTTGGTGATTTATAGAGTTTGTATCTCTACTGAATTCTGTTTCTCTGCTGGGTACAGGTGCATTGGCCTGGTCATAATGGGAGGTAGGGGCAGGGTGTCTCTAGCCAGAGCTGTGTGTTCAGGGCAGGAGGCATTCAGACCAGCCATCCCATTCTGGCTCTTACCACCCCTATGCTTTATCTCTGCAAAGACTCCCTGTATCTGAGCCTGCAGAGGCTGGCCACTGGGTAGCATGGTCCCTGTAGAGTCTGGACTCCACACAAAGTTCCATATCCCAATCCTTTGCCTCTCCTAGCTCTGTAGCAAGATCCTGGAGAAGACAGCCAACCCTCAGTGGAACCAGAGCATCACGTTACCTGCTATGGTGAGTGCCCTCCCTCCTATTCCCACTGTTCCAGAGGCCCTGAGACTTAGCTCCTTGCTCCCTGCTGGCATCCTGGGCCTCTGCTTGGAGGAGGGGGTTGCTTTCTTCCAAAGCTCTGTTCTCAATTCACACCTGTTCTTTCCACAGTTTCCCTCCATGTGTGAAAAAATGCGAATTCGTGTCATGGACTGGTGAGTTCTGAGTCCCTGAGCTGGTTGTTCTGAGGGAGCTATCCCAAGAGGGCAGTCCGGAGGAGGGCAGTCCTGAGGTGTCCCTGGGCCCATTATTTTCATGTAGCTATGGCTGTTGTGGTGGCAGAGAGTTTGTGCTCAGACAGGCTATAAGGGCTTTGGGCAGTTCTGGGGAAGCCAGGAGTTGGGGTGCTACACTGACAAGGAACCCCAGCCAGCAGCTGTGAGGAGCCCATCTTTGGGCTTCGGGCAGTTCTGGGGAAGCCAGGAGTTGAGGTGCTACACTGACAAGGAACCCCAGCCAGCAGCTGTGAAGAGCCCATCTTTGGGCTTCGGGCAGTTCTGGGGAAGCCGGGAGTTGGGGTGCTACACTGACAAGGAACCCCAGCCAACAGCTGTGAGGAGCCCATCTTTGGGCTTCGGGCAGTTCTGGGGAAGCCGGGAGTTGGGGTGCTACACTGACAAGGAACCCCAGCCAACAGCTGTGAGGAGCCCATCTTTGGGCTTCGGGCAGTTCTGGGGAAGCCGGGAGTTGGGGTGCTACACTGACAAGGAACCCCAGCCAACAGCTGTGAGGAGCCCATCTTTGGGCTTCTGGAGGAGGTGGGGTCAACTGCACCTGGGAGGAGGGGTTGCTTTGATAAATCCTTGATAAGGGCCATAAGCCAGATGTGAAAGCCAAACCATCCTCGGTCTGGGGACATGGGTCACATTGCCTGAGTAGGGGACACTGTTGTGGTTGTAGAGCAGGTGAGAACAGTAGCCCGTAGGCATCTTAGAGATGGCATAGTTCCTACACTCATGGAACACCTACTGCATGCCAGGTGCTATGCCCTGTGAGCTTGCTCTATGTATGAGTTTATCTGACCCTCCATAAGGTGGTACAGTCCTACTTTATGGAGGGAAACACAGGGAGGCAAGATGGAGTATGGTATGTGGAAGGTGACAGCTGGAAGGTAACAGAGGCTGATGTGAACCCCAGCCAAGGCTTTTAGCCACCTGGCAATGCCATCCTACACATGGCATGGAGGTGACCTCTCTCACACTCGAGGGAACACTGGGGTCGACACATGTGAGCTCCAGAACACCAGGATTTCCACAAAGGGCAAGCTGTCCTTTCTCTGCCCCCCAGAAGTCCTGGTCCTGCGGTTCCCTGGCCATTCTCCTTTGGTCACAGGCCCATGGCACCCCCAACCAGGAGGATAATGAGAGACCAGGGGAAAAACCCCAGGCCGCAGAGCCATTAAAGTGTGTGCCAGTTCCCCAGGCCTAAAGAAAACAGCGTGTGAGAATTAGAGGGAAGAGAACAGCCACGGACGGGGGCAGGGAGAGGTCCTGAAGGCCACCACTGCTGGTATGAGCCTAGGGGAAGCGGTTTGGAGGGGAGGCACACTTTGCATTCTCAGAGCCATCTCGGCATGTCGGGTGACAATGCACGTGCTGATTGGGGATAGCTGGGTGTGCATGCATGTGTGTGGATGAATGTGGGTGAGGTTGGCCCCATGGGCTGTGGCTGTGCCTGGCCTGGCTCCCTTGGAGCTGTGACAAAGCTATCAGCATACTGTACAATCCAAACACATTACGGAATCTGGTGGCTGCATCTCTGGCTTGGGTTGAAGTGGCACTTTTATTGTGAGTCTATTTTGAGACTTGCTGTATTTTCCAAAAGCAAGCCCCAAGCCCCAAAACCCAGCTCTTGGCCAGAAAGCATTCCAGTGCTCTGAGTTCCTATCCAGAAAGTCTTTCTTCCCAGAACACACAGATAAATGTCTGCTGTTACCTGAGTCTTGGAAACATGCTATCTTTCCATATGGCTCTTGCTCTGTAACTTAATCTTCCATTCCATTCTTTAAAAATTCCTTTTTCATTAAAAAAAAAATCAAAATTCCTCAGGGATGGCTCAACAGTAAAGAGCACTCACTGTTCTTTCAGAGGACCTGGGTTTGGTTCCCCAGCAGCCACATGGCAGCTCACAACCACCTGTAACTCCAGTTCCAGGAGACTTGACATCCTTTTCTGGCCCTGAGGGCTCCTGCATGGACATGATACACCCGAACTCATTCAATCACACACATACACATAAAAAAAAAAATTTGAGAAAAATTTCTCAAAGTCACCTCCCACCTCTATAAAAACATCCTGCCTCTTAATCCCCTTCCTATTTAGACAAGGCCAGCAGTCAGAACCTAGTCCTCTTCAGGTCCTGGGCTTCTGGGGTAGGCATAAGGCAGTTTAAAAATGCTACCTGCTTGGACTGGGGCAGTAGCTTAGTGGCAGAGTACTTGCTTAGTGTCTTCAAAGTACTGTGCTCGATTCCCAGCACTGCAAAAAGAAATGGCATCCACTGTCAGGCATTGATACCAATCACCTCAAGGGAGTGTTCTCATGATCATGGCTTACCAGAAACCATGATACAGATCTGGGCTGCCAGATCACTCACACTTCCTCATGTAGCCCCTGACTTGGGGGAAACTTCAAAAGCTAAGGCTTAATCACCTTTCTGGGAATTACAAAAAGAAAGGGAAGGACAGACAGAAATGGGAGTACCTCATAGGGTTAGGGTTAAGAGGAAAATGAGATCACCATGCCTTAGGCAACTTTGGAAATGGTGCTGGATGCATCCATCATGGCCAAGGTGCTCAGGGTGGGGAGAGACCCCCCAGGAATATTGAGAAGAAGGGTTGGAAGTGTACTTGAGAACTTTCCTGAAGGAACCAGAACCTGCCCAGGCCAGCACTGCTAACCTCTGACCAGTAATTCTTGCCTGGGAGTCTGTCCCTCAAATTGTAAATTGTCAAGCAGCACTTCGCCCAACTGGAGCTTCCTCTTCTCATATCAGAAAATGTCTCCTGACATAACTGTGCATGCTCGCCAGGCTTGCAAGGCAACTGCCTGTACTCACTGAGCCATTTTGCTAAGCTCCGAGAGTTGTTTAATTATCTTCATCTCTGCATCCTCACCTGAAGCTGGGGCTTGTAGTAGTGAGCCTCTGGGATCCTCTCACGGGTGCAGTTCTGGGGTTACAGATGAGCCACGCTCAACTTTTTACATGGGTGCTGGGGATTTGAACTCAGGTCCTCATGCTTGTGCTGCAAGCATTTTACCCACTGGGCCTTCTCTCCAGAAACCACAGTATGGCATTAGGTCAGTCCCTGGCTTAGAGGTGTAGGGCCAGCTTTAGTGATTGCGAGTAATTGTTATCTAGGAGTCAGGTAAGGTGTTCAGAGGCAGTATCTACATGGGGTGCTGTGGGCTAGTGGGTCTCCTAGAGCACCAACCTACAGGCCCTTATGATGACTGGAGAGGAGAGGAATCTGGGGAAGCGGGACAGAGGACTGTGCCAAGACTTTGCCAAGACCAGGAGTTGAGGTGGCATTTCCAACTCCCTCCTTCCTCCCTGGCTGACCTTGGGAAGGGCCTGCATGTCTCTGTTTCAGTTTCCTCTTTCCATAGATGATGATAAAGGTATTTGGGCTCCAGGAAGTTAGGAAGCTTGTGTGGGATAAAGATTGAACGTATTTTGTTACATCTAAAGTCCCCACACAAAGGGATGGCTCAGCAGCACTGGCTCTGTAAGACTGTGGCCACTGAGGTGATTTCCCAGAATTTTCCTGGATTTTGCCATTTCTTGAGCTTCCAGGACGTTAGCTCTCCTAGGGTCTGGGAATGGCTCTGCGCCAACAGTCGTCTCCCTATCCTGCCTGCCTCTGGCCTCCTCCCTGTCATCTTGGGCTGGTGGCCCTATGTGGGCCAGCTGATACGTGTGGCTGGCTGTTGAAGCGGACAAGTTCCCCCTCAGCAAGTTCCTCCTGAGCAAACTTCCTGTCTAGTCTCTTCTCCCCTGGGCTTCCCAGGCCTCAAAAGACTAGGATCTCCAGAGACGTCACCAAGGTCATTTCCTTCCTGTGTGTGCTGTGGCCTGTCTCCCCCTCCCCCAATGTTCATGCCCTCTCTGCATCCTTGTTCTAGGGACCGCCTCACTCATAATGATATTGTGGCCACCACCTACCTGGGTATGTCAAAAATCTCTGCCCCTGGAGGAGAAATAGAAGGTATGTTCTGCCTGCTCGTGGTTCACCCCGCCCCTCCTTGCTCTGCCTTATACTTCAAGATTTGACAGTTTGTAGGCTGGGGGACATTGTAAGACCTCTGTTACCCATTTTCCAGTGATAGCTGGCTGACAGACATTTAGAGTCCACACCCTGGATGCTCCAATGAGGGCCCTTTATGCTTGCGGATAACGCTGGGGACTGTGGCTGCAACATCTGCTGGTTTCTACCTTGGCCAAGCGTACTCTAGTGGTTCCTATTTTTGAATGGCTTCTATTGACCTACTAAAGTGCAACCCATCATGATTTTGTAAAGTTTTAAATAGGTAATCCAGAGGAAGACTGAAATTTACCCATGAAGCTACCCATAAGTCTATTACTGCAGACAAGAACAATTAATATCCCAACCCTTCTGTGTATGTATGTGCACGTGTATGTATCTATGTACATATAAATGTGTATACATAGATACATATATGATACAATATCAGTATACATTAAAATGAATTTTTTTGAATGTTGCTTTTTGTCATTTGGCAATTCTACATTGATGTCTTTTTATGTGATTAAATGCTCTTCTTGAATACATTTTTTGTGTGGCAATACTAGGAATCGAACCCAGGGCTGTGTACATGCCAGGTGAGCCTTCTACCAACTGAGTTACATCCCCAGCCTTTAAAATGCAATCTTAATGAATAAACATTTCATTGTGGAACATTCAAGTACCTTATAACTATAACTTTGCAATGAACATTTTTATAGCTGAGTATCATGTAATTCATAATTTAAGAAAAATTAAAACAAATGGGGCTCTAGAGATAACCTAGGGATTAAGAGCACTTACTCCTCTTGCAGAGAACCTGGGTTCAGTTCCCAGCACACACATTGAGCACTTACAGCCACTTGTAACTCCAGTTCCAGGGAGTTTGATGCCCTGTTCTGGCTTCCAAGGGCACCTGCACACATGTGGTGCACATGCAGTTAAGCACGCACACACATACGCATACATAGAAATAAAATAAATTGAAACAAGTTTTCACTGTTGGGATGGAACCCAGGGCCTGGCACATGCTAGGCAAGTGCTCTACTACCGAGCTGCATCCATAGCTTTTGGATTTCCTTTCACATAATCGTTTAGAAATGGAATTGCTGTGTCAAAGAATTTTAATACTTTTGCCAAAGACTGCCCTTCAAGAAGGTTGGACTAATTTATGCTCCAGTCACTTTTATGCGCTTGATGTTACAGTTCCAACATGGCTAAAAGGATATGAAAACAGAACTTTGAATTGGTGTGGTAGTGAATGCCCGTAATCCTAGTACTCAGAGGATAGAGGCAGGAGTATCAGTAATTCAAGGTTATCCTCAGCTCCATAGTGAATTTGAGGGCAGCTTCGGCTACATGAGACCCTCACTCAAAAAAAAAAAAACAAACCAAACTACCATAAAATCTCCAAACAACAAACAGAAGTTTGTTAATTTGATGGCTTAAATGGTGTCTTATCATTGCCTTAATTTTCACTTAATTGACTTGAAGTGGAGTAGACTGACTATGTACATTTTGAACTATTCTAAACTTACATTATATATATTTTGTAGTTATTCTGTCACAAATACACGCCCTCGGTCTGTATTTTTGATGGCCAGTTTCTCTTTTTCCTACTGTTCTGTGAGATTTCCCTGTGACTGTAGGCACTAACTTTCCCCCGTCAGAAAACTTGTAAATAATTCTTGTCAGTTATATTTGAATAATTTTTGGCTGATGGAAATTTAAATTTTTATGTAGCCAAATCTGTTAATCTTCTACTTCATGGATAAAGCAGAGATCTAACATTACATTCTCAAACATTGTTTTTTGGTGTTGGTGACATCAACACTGTTTTGACTACTCCGATGTTTCAAAATACTGTCTTTCTCACCTCTTAAATTCCTTTTTGTGTATCTTGGGCTATTCCTTGATTTTCTATCATCTTCAGTTGGTACGATTATTATTGCTTGGTTTTGGTATCTGGGTTATGCTGGCTCTGTAAAATTAATTGGAAAGATTTAAAGTCTTCTCGAACATCTGGAACAGTTTATATAACCTAAGAATATAGTCTTTTGAGGGTTTGAAATAATTCACCCATAAAGCCGTATGGGCTGGGTGCCCTTTTGAGTGGGTGTAGTAATGGCTCTTTATAAACTTTTCAATTTCTCTTGTGATCATTCTTATTTTTAGTTTGTTACTTTTGCTCTAGTCAGTTTTGATAATTTCTATTTTCCTAGAAAATATTCACTATATTGAATCTTTAAAATATATTTATTGTGTTTTGCAGTGTCCTTTAGAATTTACCTGTGCTGTATTTCTTTCCCTTACTTTTATCGTGCTTGAATTTTCTCTTTTTTTCCCTTGAGTAGCCTCTCAGTGTTTAAAAAAATTTATTGGACTTTTCAGTTGGGGGCGCTTTAACTTTGTTTAAACTTATTTTTGTGTTTCTTTAAAAAATTTCTAACTAGCTTAAGTTTATTTTTCTTATTTAAATAATGGAAGAAGTATGGGTCTGCCTTATAGGCCATATTTAAAAGATCTTTGGCAAACCTCTGGGTTTTATTTAACTTTTTTAAAGATGGGATCTTACATAGCTCAGGCTGACATTGCACTTGCTATGTTGTGGCTAAGGATAACTTGAACTCCTGATCCTCCTGCCTCCACCTCTCAGTTGCTGAAGTGCTGGAATCTAGGTGTGTTCCACCACACCTGGCTTATGTGGTGCTGGGAATGGGACTGAGAGCTCTGTGCATGCTAGGCAAATGCTCCACTAACTGAACTACACCCCTATCCTTTTTTAACATGATTTTTAAAATTTATTTTTCGAATTTAAATATGTAGCATCCTTTAATTTGGTTTGGCGTATTTTCTGAGAAAAGTTCAACTTGGTCTCTGTGTGGGAGTCTGACTGGATCTTGAGTGTAGTCTAGAAGTTGTTAGCCATGGGGTGCTTGGCTGTGAGTTCTACGTATCACTTTGTTAGATAATCTTGTTGTGCAGGCACACAAACAGATTTAGTGACATCACTAGGAGATGTCACCTATGGGAACAGCATTATATGGCAGCTCACAGTTGGTTGGCCAGGAATCCTTTTGTAGCACATAATTGTATGTTGATCCTTGTAGGCACTGGAGAGAACCTTTTTGTTGAATTTTGATGGAGATCTGGTGAATCCCCAGTTGAGGGTTCTTATGCTAATTTATATCACCATGGACGGCTGGAAGCCTGATGGATAGTGCTGAGAACTGTGGCCAGCCAGCCGGGGTTCACATTCTTTGTAATCAAGGGAGTTGCTCAGTCTCCTTTCTGTAAAGTACGGCTCCTAGGGCTCCCCTCTCCTAAGATGCTTGGTGGGGCTCAGTGGATTACCCACATGCAGCTCCTCTGGTGTCTGGTATACAGTGGCTGGAGGCAGCCTGGGTGCTCACCTACCTGGCATTTGTTTGTTTCTTATTTATTTGTTTGTTTTCATGTGATTTAAAATTTACTTCTGCACTTTTTATTTTTTGTCAAGTTTTTTTCCTCTGTTCTCCCATATTTGCCTTTTTTCTTTGCCCACATTTTTCTTACCCTGAAAGTTTTGTGTCTTCTTGTCTGTTCTTGAGGACCTCAGATCATTTCCTGAAGCATTCAGATGGCGGCTCTCTGGAACCTTATGTATGGCATTGCCCTTCCTGGCACTGTCCTTCACTGTTATCTACTCTCTTGTGAAGTCTGCTCAGTGAGGGTGTTTGCACAGACAGGGGCAAGGTGTCCATCTCTAACGCTCGGAGGTTTAGCCAATTCATGTGCCTCATTACCAGTGAACTTGGCCCAGTGATTTTGAAATAGGAGCTTTCTCCCATCCCTTCTTCCAAGTCCTCTGAAATATTTTTCAAAATACTGTTTTTCCTTTTTTTGAGATAGGATCTCATGCATAGCCTCAAACTTGTTATGTAGCCAAGATGACCTTGAATTTCTGACCCTCCTGTTTCTACCTCCATCTCAATGCTGGGATGACACCACACCCAGTTTACATGGTATGGTAGATTGAGCCCAGAGCTTCCTGCGTGCTAGGCAAACACTCTGCCATTTGAGCTACATCCCCAGACCCCAAAGCCTCTTAAATACAGAAAACTTCAAATACACACCAAAGTTGAGAATTACACAATGAACTACTAGGTACCTTCTCTCAACGTCTAGTTTCTCTTTGCTGCTCTCGAGTCATTACCGATACTTTGAAATGGTGGAATTCATACAGGAAACCTTCCAGAAGACAGTGCTATTGGGATCCTCCTTTTCTAGCTGTGGGCACTGTGTCCCAGGGTACAGTCCCTCACAGGGGACTGGTCAGAGAGCTTCTTTGAAGCACTGCCTTAAACATATAGGCAGGAAGCTCTGACAGGGGCTCATGTTGGTTGTGCTGAAGTGACTAGCCACCTGTGGGTCATAACTCTTCTGCAGTTTTTTGACCAATACTGTAGCTGTCTCTGAATCATGGGACTAATGTTTGTCGAGGCACAGTTTAACATTTATGAGTGTCTTCTGGAAGCTTCTGGTGTATAATGCTACATCTGTATCTGTCTTGAGCCACCTACCAAGCCCTTCTCTACCCCCTTTATTTCTGGTGCGATGTTGGCCTTCCCATTCACTCACTCACTCACTCACTCACTCACTCACTCACTCACTCACTCACTCACTCACTCACTCACTCACTCACTTTATTTAATGTCCTGGAATTGAATTTAAGGCCTCAGGCAAAAGCACTACCACTGAGCTGTATTCCCAGCCCCCATCATCCTAATTTAATGAGGTGAGAAAGTTGTTTTTGTGGCCACTAGATGGTGCTCACGTCACAGACAACTCGTGCTTCAGGGCCGTTGTCAAAGAGGGACCACCTTCTTTCTCTCACAGATTGTTCTAGAAATAAAAGAGACTCTTGGAACCAGCTAACCTCTTTTTGAAAGTAGAGCTAAACAACTAGATTAATATGACAATAAAAGAGCTGCATTTATAGATCAAACTGGAGTTATTCTTTGTGACGGCCCAGGCTCTCTGGTGTCCCTTCCTGCAGATGAGAGCCCCTTTCTCGGGGTGGAGCTTCTGTCTAACCTGAGGCTGGCACTTGCCCTGCTCTCAGCTAAACTATTCCTGGCCTGGGAGCCCCCTTGGAACATAGCCCTCCACTTTCCTTGTTTCTCATTTTGTTTTGCTTTTTCTTCTTGCTGTGGTGGTGAGGCACACCTTATTTTCTCTTTGCTCTCAAAAATCATCCCAAACTGCACTGTCAGAACTGGGTCTAGGCATGGAATGTAGCTCAGTTGGCAGAGAGCTTGCCTGGCGTACCCAAAGCCCTGGGTTCCATCCCTGCACTCCATAAACACGGCATGGTATTGCATGCTTGGAGGTGGAGGTAGGCGTATCAAAAGTTTAAGGCCTCTAGGCATGTTGGTACACACCTTTAATCCCAGCACTGTGAGGCAGAGGCAGATGGATCTCTGTGAGACTGAGGCCAGCCTGGCCTGCATTGTGAGTTCCAAGCTAGCTGGGGCTACAGGGAGACCCTGTCTGAAAAAAAAAAAGTTGAAGATCATCCTTGGCAAGTTCAAGGCCAGCCTGGAAAAAAAGAACAACTTCTTGCTCTCTGTCCCCCTCACGGTTTCCAGTGATTTGGTTCAACCGGAGTTTTTATTTTTGTGTTCTTGTTTTTGATTCCAGCAAGAACAAGACCTAACAGTAACCTCCTAAGCACTTTTGCCCACAAGTTTGCCTGGACACACTGAAATATTCTTTGGACCCTGTGTGCCAACGTATTAAGGGAAGACTTTGGTTTTTAAAAAGGAGTGCTCGTTCCCATTCTATGATGCAGCAGTTCTTTTGGCAGGTAGAAGGCACACAGCCCCAAGATGCCTGTAGGTATCTTCAATACCTTCATCTATATGAACACTGGTCTGAGAACAGCACTCAGAAACCCAAAGTTAGTGCTTTTTGTTTTTTGTTTTCTTTAAATTTTTGTCTTTGGACCACAGATGATGGTGAATTTCCCAGCAGTCTCTCCTTTCTTCTCCTGCCTGACCCAGGCAGGTGTCAGGCAGCCAAAGCCTCAGGAGCTGGCAGGGCTGACTGAAGGTAACAGTTTGGTTTCTCTAGGGTACACATAGGTCCCAGGGACCGCCTGCAGAGCTGTGATTTGTGGCTTCTGGAGCAGCCTGCTTTGTCCCTTCCAGCTCCCTGAGGTGAGGGAGCTAGGCTTCACTCTCATGCTGCAAAGCTGGGCACATTCATCTGGGGCCTGGGGCTTCCACAGGCCCAGCTCTCTGGGCTCAGGGAAAACACACTGAAACACTTGGGTTTTGGCAGAAGGACGACTGGGACTAAATAGAGGCTTTGTCTTGGGTGGCTCCTCTAGACACCCTGCCCTTGACTTTATGAGCTGTCTGCAGACACAGGTGCGAGAGTCCGGGGTGAACTGCAGCGTCAGAGACCTGTGACCTGCCCTCCAGTTGGAAAGTGCTGACCTGAGATATCATTAGGGCCATGCTGAAGTCTAGTACTGTGTCTGCTTAGGGTTTCTGAATGAGTGAATGTACAAACGATGGGGAAGCCTGCTGTCTGCCTACCACAAGTGCCAGGTGTTGCTCAGCTGGCTGGTGGGACTGGTGGACAACTATCCCTGGCTGGCTGCCAGTTTGCCGCCAGGATTCAGTCAGTCTCTAGCAAGAAGCACATAGACCTCATAACTATGGCTTCAGCCTCATTAGCCCAAGATAACAGGCTCCACTTACTAGCCATAATTTGGAAGGAGCTGAAAGTAGAATCTATTTCCAGCTGGTGATCCCTGGCTGCTGCCCTCCTGGGAACCACAGCTATGCCTATGTAGGTCATCTTGCCAGGCTGAGGGTTCCCCTGTGCTCGGGCCCAAGCTCAATTCCTACTGATAGGAAAATCTCCATGAGTCACGATTGCTATAGCTGACTCCTGTCAACCAGCATTGGTGGCTGCAGAGCCCTGAGTGCCAGCCCAGGGCTTGACCTCCCTGGGCCTCTGGCTTAGCTTCTTCAGACCTGTCTTCATCTCTAGACTTCCATATTCTTGGCCCATCCTTCCTTCACTCAGTTTTTCTCGGGCCTTCCAGGAATGTCCAACCCAGAGCTATGGGTTGAGAAAGGGTGTATGTACATAGTTTATTTTGCGTGACACTGACATGACTGATTAGATTACATTTTGTTGGTTGGAGAAGAATAACAAGAAATTCAGAATGCAGGAAGAGGAAGAATTAGAGGTCATAGAAGGAGTGTGAGTGTACCCATTTCCCTGGGGCATCATCTGCCTGCCCAGAAGTGAGAAGTGGGTTTTGAGAGCTCAAGGCATGCATGAGCGATTCTTTCCTTGATCCTTTTATTTACCTTACCATCAACTAGGGATACTCCAAAATGTGCCACCCCCCCAGCTAATGAACAGCATCGTGACTGTGCTTCAGTGGAAGCTGCAGGTGCTGGAAGCTGGCCAGAGCCAGGAGCCCGCTGTTGAGGGAACATGCAACATGTTCCTTCCTGTGGCAATACTAGAAATGACCACAAGGTGGTGATGTTGTACCTTGAATTGGACCGGCTCAGCATGCTGGGCTTCAAGCTTCAACCTGCTTGTTGGGTTTGGAGCCCAGGGTGTGCCCCTGTCTTGCTCTGGCTCCTTCATGCATCAGTTTCCCCCACTTACCTGGATAAAATGCAGAAAAGCAGGTTTTCTTTTCTGTGTTATTTTTTGAGTACATTGAATGAAGGCTCAGGTCATGGAGCTGCTGGGGGCTGTCTGGCTAGAGTGGGGGTGGTGCTGCCTTACTGTGTTGTGAATTCACATGTGGGTGGGGTCGGGCCTCTGGCCACATTTGTTTCTTCCCAGTGCCTGTCTGCCAGCTCTCCATTCAGGCTTCTGTTCATGTAACTGTTCCACCAGCCACGCCCATCCTAACCCCTTTTCCATTTCTTTATGCTTCAGAGGAACCTGCAGGTGTACTCAAGCCTCCACAAGCCACAGACCGTATGTTGCTGTCACCTACAGGACATGAGGGGTTGAGGGTCTTGTGGTGCCCATTGGAGGGGGATTTTCTAACTTGCATGAGAGAGACTGAGCTGCACCCTGTTTCTTGAGTTAACCACTGGTTATAGTGTCCTCTCAGCCACTGGATGACAATGTAAATTATTTGTGAAACCTTAAGACAAATTTCCTCTGGTTCTGCCAGACTCCTTCTTAAGACTGCTGCCTAGAGGGGTTGGGAGCCAACATGGGGGCCACAGTGGGCCAGGGGATCATGAGGTGCTTGGGGGATCTGGAGGTAGTAAGAAGCTCTTACAGTGTAATTCGCAAAGTAATCATAATTGATATCTACACAAGCAGATAGTAGTGTTCCTGGGAGTCCCATAATTTCAAGGCCCTTTGCTTCCTTCAAAACTAAGCCCTGTCTGCACTGGGGTCTGGAGGAGAGACTGTGTGGAAGGGTAATAAGCAATGTGCTCCAGCTGCCCCTCTGTCACCTCACTGTCTCAGCAGTGTGGCATTCAGCACACAGCCTCATGTCCTGCCTAGCAGGTCTCTGTGGAGACCCATTTCCCCTTGCCTCCCCCTACCCATTCTTGTGTAAGCAGGAACATCTAGATGGTCCTGGTGCTGTTCCCACCATCTGGAAATGTCCTCAGAAAGGGACACCCTGCTTTTGCAAAGGTTTTCAGAATCTGACCAGTAGGGTCCCTTCCTAGGAAGGGCAGCAGTGACATTATTAACAAGAGAGCACCTTCCAAAGGATGGGGATGATGACAAGCCAATTCCTTCATCCATCCTCCAACTTTCCACCTCCATGCCCCACTGAATACCTGTTCTTTGCAAGTGTGCGTGAATGTGGGATCCAGGTGCAGGTCAAGGCCATCAGGATGTAGGTGCATTTTTAGGCCTGTATTGTTAGGGAGGGACCTCTAGCTGGGACACCACCCTGGCTTCATGGGACATAACTTCTCTGGTCATCTGGCTCTGGGACCTCCTTTGTGGCCTCCCATGACTGGATACCTGCACATACAGGCTGGAGGGAGGGGCTTGAGCCCCAGCTTGTGTGCATGCTACCTGAGTGTGTTGCATCATTGGGTCCTCCTGTCTTGCTGCCCTGTGCTCCATCACATCTCTGAGCCTCAGTTTCCTCAACTATAAAATGGGATTAGTGAAATAATAAGCAATAATCACATCTCAGCATAGTGCTGAGAACTCAAGGGATAGAGGGGAGATAGTGACAGTCATTGCTAGTACCATTATTAAACATGGTCAGGAGCTGCATCTGGTGCATATGGGGGAACCTGAGGGTCAGAGATGGTCTCAGGTCTGAAGGTGGTTGGGTTAAGCCCTAGAAAACCCCACAGAGCCACCTCTCTGACTCCTGCTTGTGTGTTCCAGTGGATGACAGCCTGGGCTTCCTCCCCACCTTTGGGCCCTGCTATGTGAACCTCTACGGCAGCCCCCGGGAGTTCACGGGCTTCCCAGACCCTTACATGGAGCTCAACACTGGCAAGGTGAGCTGTTGGGTCTCACATATATCACACAGGGGTCTGGAGCCTGGTCTGGTAATGTCTGGGCCTGGCTGATACGCCACGGAGTTAGAGAACCTCCTTTTGTTTGCCCCCCTGGATCCTTCTTCCTGGGCCAGCTGGACCTAGTCATCATCTCCATTCCAAGATAGCCAGGTCCATTCCTCTTAGATTTCATCTCTTTGGGCTGGGCTGGAGGGTTGGTACATCCCTATTCTGTAGGGGTGAGTTGTATCCTGTTGTCCGTGTGCTGTCCCTGCTTTGTTGGTGACTTGACCTTCACCTGCAGGGTGAAGGTGTGGCCTACCGAGGCCGGCTTCTGCTGTCCCTAGAGACAAAGCTGGTAGAGCACAGTGACCAGAAGGTGGAGGACCTCCCTGCTGATGATATCCTTCGAGTGGAGGTGAGGGCACTACTTTGGGAGGGAACTGGGTTCCTGTTGGGGGCAGGAGTAAGGTGCCAAGTACGCTGGTAGAGGGAGGCTTCAGCTCTGACTTACCTCACTGGGTCTCCTAGTCTCAATTGTAAGGTGGGAATAGTGTAACATCACTCCTCTCCCTTGGAGGGATGCTCTGAGGCTTAAAGGAGATAAATGAAAGTATTTTAGCAGCCTAGAGCTTGATGCAAAATGTGATGCTGTTTAACAAGGATCCTGTAAGGAAAACTAGCCATGAGATCAGCTCAGTACTTACCACACATTTGTCACTGTGGGTGATGTTATTGATGTTGTCAGATCCTCTCAGCACCCCTTGATGTGGCTGTTGTGAACTCCATTTACAGATGAGGAAACTGAAGTCCAGAAATATCAGAGCAATGCATGATCCACAGGGACCTCTAGGTGCTGTAGTCAGATACCTCTGGTTTCCATCCTGGCTCTCCCACCTGCCAGCTGTATCAATTTCCCTGCCTGTAAAGTAGGTATGATGGTCATACCTACCTCAGAAGATTGTGGTGCAGTAGCACTCAGGAAATGTTAGCTGTCAATCATTTGCATGCTCCTAAAATCCAAGTGTTCAGCTCCTTCTCCCTCAGCTTTCTGCCTTCTCAGGGAAGGGCGGGAGTTATAAAATCACACTGGTTCACTTTCCAGACATGTGAGCTCTTTCTATCATCTCAGCCCTGTGCCCTGGATTTAGAGGGGCCAAAGAGCTCTACACATCCTAAGCACATGGTTGAGGCCATCCGAGTGAGCTCAGGGCTGCCTGGCTGGTGTGTGTGTGTGTGTGTGTGTGTGTGTGTGTGTGTGTGTGTGTGTGTGTGTGTGTGTGTATTTAAGATTTAGTCAGGGCATGGTTGTTGAGAGTTTTCAGCTCCTTTGAATGGCAGACAAGGTCTAGGCTGCCCTGAGGGACGCTGCAGGAGACCCTGCTTTGCTGACATGGTGGTGCCATCGCTGCTGGTTTGGATTAAGGAGCAGTCTGACCTCAGAGAAGCAGATCTTACTAGGAAACGTGAGCAAATGTGCACGGACCTGGAATGAGTTTGTTCACTCAGTAACCAAGTCTGCAGGCTGTTCCTTTGGACCATCTGCCACTCTCTGCCAAGCCAGGAGGAATTCCTGGGCCCTGGTCATGGCTCAGGCCTGACCACACTGGGTGTCTTGCTTATCTCTTTCTTGTGACCTCTGGCCTGGCCACTCTGCCCACAGAAGTACCTCCGGAGGCGCAAGTACTCCCTGTTTGCTGCCTTCTACTCAGCCACCATGCTTCAGGATGTGGATGATGCCATTCAGTTCGAGGTCAGCATTGGGAACTATGGAAACAAGTTTGACACCACCTGCCTGCCGCTGGCCTCTACCACGCAGTACAGCCGGGCTGTCTTTGACGGTGCGTGAGGCGGGAGGGATTGCTTTCAAGTCATACGGCAGGGGCTGAACTCTAAACCATGTTTCCTGTGGAAACCTGGTGAACCTTTTGGAGTATTCCCTGTCTACCTCCATGGGGTCCCACTGCCAGCACCCACACACTGGACTCCTGTAGGCTCTGCAGGAGCCTCAGTTTCAGGAGGTTGCCCTGATCCTGAACCATCTCCAGCACCACACTGGGTCTGGAAGCTTGGCTTTGAGACCTTGGGGATATGATTTGAGTTTCCCAGAGGTGTTCTAACAGTTCCTGTTTTGATGTGAAAGCCACAGCAGTCTGTTCCACCATGAAGGGTGCTCAGGAACTTTATCCGGACACTGAGGATCACCAGCTACACCACAAGCATCCAAGGGGAAAGGAGAACAGGGCCTGTCTCCCTCCATTCTGAGTCCCTTCTCTAGCTTTGAGGAAGTCCTGGGGGCCTGAGCTCTGTGCTGTGTGTCCCACTGCCCTGGGGTCCTGCCCAGTAGTAAGGTACTCCTCTCCTCTTCCTGCAGGATGCCACTACTATTACCTGCCTTGGGGCAACGTGAAGCCTGTGGTGGTGTTGTCTTCCTACTGGGAGGATATCAGCCATCGCATTGAGACTCAGAACCAGCTGCTCAGGATCTCTGAACGGCTGGTGAGTGAGATCCTGCCCAGATCTGGTGCCTGATCCTTGGCCCTGCTAGGAATGTCTGCAGACCTGTGGAGAAGGTGGGGTGACAAGAGTGCTAGGAACACCCCAGGCAGATGTGGGAGATGGAGAGACAGAGGGTCAGAAGACAGCCGGAACATCAGGACATGCCTGGTGCTTGTTACTACATGCCTCTTGAGTCTTACCACACACAATGGTTTGCTAGAAACTTCCTGCCAGCAGCTAGGACTCCAAACTTAGTTTCATGGGTGCTGAGAGCGAGGTGTTGGGTATAGAGGAAAGAAAACAGCTGAGGAGCATCGGGTTTCATGAGGGCAGTGGGAGACATGGGAGGAGAGCCCACCTGGGATGTTATAGTAGGGGATCCAGGAAGGGTGAGGAGATGGCTTTTGAGGGGAATTGTGGAACTTGCTCTCCCAAGGCTGACTGGCTTTGGGTAAAGGAAGGCTTTGAGAAGTGATCCTGGCTTGCAGCTGGGAAGCTGGGACACTGGGGAGAGGAACAGAGTGTTTGAGGATGGGGCAGTTCTGGTTTGGGGGCCAGGAGAAACTTCTGGGGAGCTGCCAGCACACACAGATTGATGTGGTGCTTGACCAGGGGGTGGAAGAGAATCCTGAGGGCACAAAAAGAGGGGATAAAGATGGTGGTCTAGGTGGTGGCTCCAAGCATCTCTATGGGGTGGTGGGATGCAGGCTTTCTCACTAGGGCATCACTCATGGGAAGTAGGGGAGGCCAGTGTAGCCACAAGGTAGGAACAAGGGGCAGCAGGAAGAAGGAAGGGTTGAAGAGGCCTGTGAACATCTGATGAGCACAGTTGGAAGGAAAGCTGAAGAGGAAGGGAAAGGATGGAGCCTTGGAGTGGATGGGGAGGGTTCAGGCCTAGGCAGGGACTGTAGTGTCCCATGACTTCCTTGAGTCTGGTAGCTGGTGGTGGCAGCTAGCTAACACCAGTGGGGAGAATGTGGAGTCTAGTCTGAGCAAAGACATGGTCCTGCTGCCCTCTGGACAACTCATTGTCTTATAGAAGCTCCTAGACAGCAGGGACTGAGTTCTCTTCCTAGGCTTTGTTCCTCAGGGTGGAGCACGCATCACACGATCTGGAAGACTGATGGGTGGAGAAGGCTGGTTGGGGGACCAGGTATTCTGAGGTTGGGCTCTGTCTTCCATCTCAGGGGCTAGGCATGGGGAAGATACTTAGGAAGGGGGCCAGATGAAGCCCCAAGAAAGCAGGCTGTGAGAGTCTGCTTTTTGTGCCTCTGGCTACTCAGGGAGGCTGATTGGATTGGAGCCTAGCTGTGTAGCTGACTGGAAAGGAGTGAGGGGAGTAGTCTCAGAGAGAGGGCCACTTGAAGAGGGGAGTGAGACCTGGCCAGGAGGTGGCAGGTGGGGTAGGATGCATTTAGATTATGCAAAAGCTCTGCACGGCAAGGGAACCCCTTGTGACCATGTATGAGACTAAGGTCCTGGGCTTTGGAGTTGGGGTGTGAGGAGCCCTGGAAGGTTCTTGAGCTGAGACAGCACTGGCAGATTGAGCTGGGCTATGTCTTCTTTGTTCCTGGTATCCACTCTGTCTTGGTTCAGTGACAGGGCCTATGGGTTGGGTCCCCTTCAGTGGTGACACTCTTGACCTAGGCTTGTCTGTTCCACAGGAAGCTGGCCTGGAGCAGGTCCACCTGGCTCTGAAGGCCCAGTGCTCCTCAGAGGACATGGATGCCCTGGTGGCTCAGCTGACAGATGAGCTTATTGCAGACTGCAGGTAGGTAGGGGGTACCTGGAGCCCTCAGCTGCCTCTCCTGGCTCTGCCAAGACTGTCTCCCCAGGAGTGTTCGTGTGTGGCGGTGAGCAGTGGCACGTCTCCCAGCCACAGTTGGCCAGCAGTCTGGCCAGTGCTGAGCCCAGAGGTGGTGGAGCCAGCACCAGGAGTTGAAAAGGTGACGTTTAGAACAGGTCATAAATCTCCCTGCAGCAGCGGCAGCTGTAGACTGGGCAACAGGCTTACCTGAATGGGAAGCATTGTGTGTCTGATCCTCGACCTCATAGCTCCCTGATCGAATCTCCAGGAGAAGCTGGCGGGGGGTGGG